GTCTGAGCTGAGGTTGGGATTGTGGTTGAATGCCCGGCCTGGCCGGGCTCCTTCTATCCACACTCGGGTCCGGCGCGAGGTTAAAGTCTCCAGCGAGGATGAGGGGGATGTCAGTAGGTATGTTATGTATAAGATCCAAGAAGAACTCTGCTCTTTCTGTCGTTGTGTTGGGGGCATATACACAGGCTAGCCCCACTTCCTCATCGCCGTTACTGGCTTTTAGGTACAGCCACCTTCCTTGGGCTTCGTCCACCTTCACCGATAGAGGTTTTAGTCTCGATGTGGGGGGAAGCCAGATTGCCACCCCAGCCGAATGAAAACTGGTCGAGAATGCATTAAATGCAGTGTATGGCCAGATTTATGTCACTTTTGCTGCATGCGCGGGAGTATTCATAAAGTGTGTCTCCTGCAGACAAACTGCATCGGGCCAGTAGCGTGGGTTAGACGTTCGTATCATGTTCCAGGTTGCTGCTTTTTTCTGGTCTGTTGCTGCCACTAACCCATTCACATTTATCGAGCGGATATCCAGGTCTGCTTTAAGTAGGTCTGTTTCCCATTGAGGGGGTTTCCTCAGTCTGGGCGGAACCTGTGGCTCCGGCGGGGCCACGGGAATCTATTCTCCGTTTGCACATTTGGAGAGCGGTGGAGCCAGGCCCTTAGCATCCAGGGTTTGTCTGACATGTCATCTGTCGGCCCGATTCGTTAAGATCTCACAGAACAGTAAGCGACCGACAAATCAGATCCTATCATAGGGCCTCGCTCCACTACATACCACATGCACAGAGGACAAAACATATGGCGGTCTGTCTTCCCATGCTGTAGCAGAAGATTCATCCACATTTTGCACATTTGGTGAGTACCCATGCTGTAGCAGAAGATTCATCCACATTTTGCACATTTGGTGAGTAGTTGAACGAGGCCCATAGTATAGCAAAGTACGCAATGACGAACTGGGCCATTTGCTTATTCTATTCAGCCACTAAGAATCCGATTTTCAACCGCCGCTGCTAAGGCAATGCTCGCACGGGGAGCAAAGCTCTGGATGCGATTACAGTCAGGTTCGTCCAAGAACGACCGTAATTGCAGGCAGATGCATTTCGGAGAGTACTAGTGTGAGTATGCTCTAAAGAAAGTAATTTGCAAATGACATCACAGGAAGTCCCCGCCATAGCCACTGCTGCTACCCGATTGGGGGTGGGGGAAATAGATGGGAGGCGCAGCTACTGGCAAAATGCTCAGGCTTTGGGTCCGCCGCCCCCCTCCTCCCGCCCCCCCCCGGTGGCCCAACCCTACTGGTTGTGTGTGTGTGTGTGCGTGTGTGTCTGTGTGTGTGTGAGATCCGTTAACGAACGAGACCTCAGCCTGCTGAATAGCTACGCGGGGACCTTTCCTCGTGGCCAGCTTCTTAGAGGGAGGCAGGGGACAACATGCATCTCCTTAATTGTGGGAGCAGGGGTCCCCTGTATAGGCTTAGGACTCTTAGGAGTAGTGGTAGGTAGGCTTAGTTTTTCAAAAACAACCCCCCCCCCAAAAAAAAAAAAGTCCCCCCTTAGCACCCGGACTTCTTTGACTTGTCCTCTGGTCTCACAGAGTGTAGGACCGACAAATCAGATCTTTTTCTCTTCCTTTTCTTGTCAAAGAGGGTGACGACCTTGATGCACCATCATAGAACTAAATTTTGTTTTGACAACAACAACAACAACAACAACAAAAAAAAAAAAAAAAAAAAAAAAAAAAAACCTGATTTCCCCTACTGTATTTGCAAATCCAGCAGAGGTTTTTTTTGGCCTCTGGCTTTGGTAGCATTGATTTCGATTGATTTCGATTCTTTCATTTTCTTTTGGATCTTCCGGGGATCTGTTGTTGTTGTTGTTGTTGTTGTTGTTTTTGCGGGGGGAGGCGGAGGGGGGAAGGATCTGTAACCTCTGTTGTGTTTCCCCCTTCTTCTGGGTGTGGCCGGTAATGCCATCCCGACGGGGGAATACACCTAGGTAACATTGTGTCAAGGGATGGTGGGCCGGTATCCCGGCTTGCATAATAATCTGTTGTCTTTTTTTTTTTTTTTTTTTTTTTTTTTAATAATCTGTTGTCTGATTGGAGCTTCAATTCAATTGGAGCTTCAACAAAAAGGAAAGAAAAACTGATGGCCCCTGATCCACCAAAACAAAAAAGAAAGAAAGAAAGAAAGAAAGATGGGAAAAGAGTTCCAAAGACTGATCGCCGGACACTCAGCACTATTTTTACTGGTTGTGATTCCAGCAGGACTCAGGGCCTCGCTGCACTACTCTCCACATGCAAAAAAGACAAAAATCATGGCCGTGCATCTTTCCATATTTAGCGGAAGATTCACTCTCGTTTTGCACATTTCGAGAGTAGTGCCTGACATCATTTGGAAGGCTGAGCATATGGCCAACCCTCTTGTTCTTTTTTTTTTTTTTTTTTTTTTTTTTT